GTCTGTAGGGGGCGTGCATAAGCGCACCAACGTGCCTACCGTCCCTGTCCTATTGTTTCTTTTTTATTTTTCTTCTATGTATCCATTTCATGTATCCATAATTATATTTATACTTATACCTGTTATCTTATAATTGCTTGACAAATAAATAAATAAAAATAACAGATAAGATGGATTGGTATATTTGCCCGGGAGCATTTTTCTGAATGTTCCTATAAAAGAATGACTGGTGAATAATGCAGGGTGAATTAATCCTTCATTTAGAATTTGGAAAAGGAGAATATAATAACTTCAAGAGTGGCCTGGCAGGTGAGCCACCCCAGGCGTTTTGATGTTGGAGGTAAATAGCAAACCATTGGCAGCCCTGTTCTGCCGCTGAATGGCATACCTTATGCTAATAGTTGTTCAAGTTATTTAAGGCCACTGAGAATGAAACTTCTGTGAGCGACTCTTCAATATCCTGGCAGTAAAAATAGGGCAAGGGAGAATCAGACATTTCTTTAGCTTTCGGGACAACTACAGCTCTAGTACAGCGGCTTCTTCGTTCAGGGTCATCTTTGCTAACTTTTTATTTGCTTTATTGTGCATTTCAGTCCATGAAGAGAAAATAGGGGGTTTCTTTCCTTTACGCTTCAGTCAGCAGTTCTGTTGGGAGTATGTGTGTGATGTTGAATAAGTTTAGACAACTTAGGGAGAAGTTTGCATTAGTTCAACAACTACAAATTGTGGGCTTTTCCTATTGCATTTGAGGGTCCTCTTCCACAATTTGCTGAGTGTAACTTGGATTTCTGCCATAAGGTCCTCTCTGTCTGGACCCACTGAAGCAGACATACAATAGTGAAACAGCTGTTACAGAATCCAAGGGAAAGAACGAAGGGCACACCATCTGTCGTCTTTCCTAGCTGGCTTTGCCGAAATCTCCATCTAGGTTTGTGTTCTGTTTAGGGTATGACCCTGTAGTCGCATTTGGCAATAAAACTCACTGAATTAATGTGATTTGTTGTTAGTGATTTGGTGTCTGTCTACATCACTTTCAAGGGCAGATGTAAGAAAATGCATCAAGCAGCCCAAATCAGAGGACTCCTTCACACAGGCTGAATTTATTTAGTGGCTTTAAACAAGCTATTAAAGCAGCTAAATCTTTTCCTGGACTCATGCAGCTCCCCTCTGCAGTTAAGAGAAGTCGGATTTAAAATATTCCCAACAGGTGCTAGGTGCATATGCCAAGAGTCACGCTGGCAGGATACAAATGGTCTGAATAATTAAATGTAAATTGTGCTCCGTATTTTGCCCTTAACATCCACATCTCTGCACAGCTCCATTTCTAAAATACTTTTTGGTAATAAAAAATATCTTCTATCATCACCAGCCACTTAACATTATCCTCAAAAGAAATGAACAAAAGCTGTTTTAGACACCAAATCTGAATATGGAAATCCAGTTTGGAGACATGGTTAAGGCATCAAAGCTAGAAAGCTGGAAAATGTGAATTCTAGTCCTACCTTAGGCACAAAGCATCCCCATGGTCACGTGGTCAAAATTCAGATGCCTGGCAACTGCACAGAATCTTAGCTAAGGACCAGGGGTGGGATTCAAATTTTTTAACAACCGGTTCTGTGGGCGTGGCTTGGTGGTCATGTGACTGGGTGGACGCGGCTTGGTGGTCATTTGACTGGCTGGGTGTGGCCAACTCAATATCACTCACATCAAGACATGCATTTCCTCGCCTGGCCTCTCATGACTGTGGGGATGCTGCAACAGTCATAAGCGTGAAAAATGGTGATAAGTCACTTTTTTCAGTGCCATTGTAACTTTGAATGATCACTCCACACAAGCAAAGTACCAGCAAAGGAGAGGAAAAAAACTCTAGAGAAGTTCCTGAGACAGGAAGTCTAATCCTGCCAAGAATGTAATAAGGATTAACGGAGAGGCAGTTTCTGTAAGCAACACCAGAATGTTTCCTTCCTGCCTTCTTTACAGGATTAGGCCAGTAATTTCTTCCAACAACTGGTTCCCCGAACTGCTTAGAATGTTAACAACCGGTTCTAGCGAATAGGTGAAAACTGGTAGAATCCCACCCCTGCCAAGTGCTCTCCTGAACCCCTGCAAACCACCAGCAGCCCAGCCCTGGTACTAAGCATAGGTGAGATGGACAAGATTGGGCAAATCTTCCCAACATCATCACCTTCTGCTTCTTTTTTCAAACTTAGCATGGTTTTGAACATATATATGTACATGTATACATCTACATGTACATATACACACACACACACCTACATACATACATACTAAATTTCATACATTTTTTTCCATTTCATAAAGATTTGTATGTGCCTCTATTTTGTAAATATTGTATCTACAAAGATATGTGATTGTTTTGCTTTCAAGCCATTTGTTGTGGGAACCAGCCCTTTGTGGTTTATAGACAACAGTCTCTTGGGTGAATGGTGGGTTCAAGCAACCTCAGTGCTTCTTCCGCCCATATCTGACAAGCTTGATGAATCTCCCAAGAAATTGGACATATTTTCAAAGAGTTCAACATAATTGGGGGAAGATATCCATAGGCAACTGTTCAGGGATTAGAGAAATTCTGGAATCTGCAGAGAGCATATTTTTTAGGCGGCACATTATCCCACAAATTGCTGCTGAAACATAATCATTCGGGTGACAAAAGGGGAAAAATACATCAGGGTTGCATTTCCTGTATTTCCCTAAATTCCATTCCAATTAATTTAAATTGGATTTAGTTTTTGTGTGACCTTGTCTATTTCTTTGCCTTTCTGCTACCCATTTTCAGAATGCAACCCCTTACCAGGTGAAGTGCATCCATGTCAAGTTTGAAGCATGCTTCAAAGATCTGGTCAGGAAATTCATGTATGTTTTATGTATTAAATGACCACTGCTGATCACACTTCTTTACAGTATCTCATCTGTCAGCTCTCTTGAAGGTTCTGTTTTGACTGAAGCAGATTCATGCCTCTCAGAAGAATAATATTTGAACAGCTGAAAGGAGTGACAGGCAACAAACTAGAACAGAGTATTGTCACACTTTTTTTTCTTATTTTTATAAAAAAAATTCATCCATTTCAGCTAAAGCATTCTTTGGCACAGAATTGAAAAGCAATTAATTTCTTGAGTCTTCTGCTAGGTCAACAGGAGCCATATTAACTGTAGTGATTAACAAAAGAATGAAGTCCACAGCATAGTTGAGTACATTTACTCTAAAGATACGGTACTTTGTTCCTTTAAAGTCAATCTTAACGGTAAGCAAATAATCTTTACTTTTAAAGGCCAACTTTAGCAAAACATCTCTTCTAATGGTAGATCATCAGACAAAAGGTAAATTCTTCACTGTAAATGTTTAGGAGCGTTTTCCTATGACTAGGAAGAAAAGGTAACCCTGAGGATATTTACTGCACTAGTTGTTGTGACTATAGGGGGCAATAGTCAAGACAATTGAGCCAGTGCTGTCCAAAGACATTTCTGCAGTCATGTGACCAGCATGACATCATGGAGTGTTTTCACGGTCCCAGAGAAGTGGTACCTATTTATCTACTTGCATTTGCATGCTTTCAAACTGCTAGGTGGGCAGGAGCAAGGATGGGAGGATGGGAGCTCCACTGTTGCATGGCACTAGAGTCTCAAACCCGGACTGCTGGCTT